CCAACCTTGTGATTCAAACCGACCACCTAGCAGTGCAGAGCATTATCCTACAGTGCTACATCAGGACTCCATATGCATGTGTATGTAATATATATAGCTGTGATTACCCACAAGTACCCATGGCATCTGAATTAGTCCTCAAGGAATGTGGAGATTATGGGCAATCACTACTTTGTTATTAAATCTTATTAAAAATAGAGACCTTCTGCAAAACGCAGGCCATGTGAAGCCTGTTTGTTTGCCTTGGGTTGAGTACTTCTCTTGCTCATCCAGAAACACTTTGGAAGTGGTCCAGTTTAAGGCAGTTGGAATCACTGCTAATCTCCTAGGGGAGAGGGGGCCTCCTAGAATAGCGAATTAGCAAGGTTTTGTAGAAGATCCTCTTTAAAAATGGGAATTGTACCAGGCTGTCTCTCTCTGTCTAGGGCCTGATTTACCCCCCAGATTCTTAAGTGCAATCTTTTTCTGGAATGCTGTGGGTTCATGCCAGATTTTAGGACAAGATGCTTCCCAGCTGCTGGTTTGAAGGGGAAAACAGAAAAGCTGTCTGCCACTCCAACTCCATGTTCCCCTTAACTCAATGTTCTGCCAGGGACCCTCAGAAGCCTCTCTCCTTCCCATTAAGTTGTCCTGCTTATGACAACATTAAGTTATTATCACTGGCATGTCTCAGTAATGAGACTGCAGTCCCGGCAATGATAATTAAGGAGGTGCTGGAGAAGGATGCCATCCTCTTCTTCAGAAAACCAACAGCTCAGACAAATGAATTTTGTAGTCTCTTTCCCTGGCATCCTTCCAATCAATACACCAAAAGCCAACACTTTTCTCATTAAGACACAGTAAATAGAAAACCTCCTGCCACAATTCATGGATCCACATACATGGATCCACATTGAGAGATGGACAGCTGCCACTGTATTGTGGCCACCCTGTGCTCCATGGAGCAAAAGGCTGCCCAATCCTGCGTAAATTTCGTGATGAGTTGTGGATCAGACCGTTGTTTTCATTGGCTGATTTTCAGATGTAGATTACCAGGCCTTTCTTCCTACTTCAGCTAAATCTGGAAGCTCCACTGCATCCTGCTCAGAGCTGTGACAATTGGCAAGATTCCGCTGACAGCTGGAGGTGACGGCACATGAGGTGTATAAGCCAAGAATCACACCCAGGGCTCCTGCATGGAAGGTAACAATTCAGCCACTGACCCACAACTGTGACCGTGTCTTCCAGAGATGAGAGCAGTGTGTAGTCCGTGGCATTTCTCACTGAAATCTGTTCACTGGATAAAGGAAGCAGTGACTAGTGTTAACCCCATTTGACAACTACAGAAGACAAAGCTTACGTGGTAAATGGCTCGAGGGTGGTTGTTGCTGTTCTTGGTTTTGCTTACAGGTACATAGGCTCTGACTCATGAACAGAAATAAAAGGTGTCCATCCCAATACCATAGTCATGATCATTGTATGTTTGGGTCCATGTTGCAGCTATTGGGTCAGGCCGTCTCGCTGAGAGATTTCCTTGTTTTCACTGACCCTCTACTTTACCAAACAGGAGGTCTTTTTCTTGCCTAATGACAGGCCCACGGTAAGAGAAGTCTCACCCGCCCAAGAACATCCCACCAATGAACAAAGGTGCTTGGATTTAAGCTCAGACAATCTGACATGGGAGACCTGTTCCTACACTGCTCTGAACAGCATGTGCTCAATTCTACAATCTTTAGGAAAGCAGGGTTAGGACTCAGGAAGAAAAGGAGGAAGAGTCTACCTACCCACCTACCTACTATCAAGGGGTCGATTCCAACTTACAGAGACCCTACAGAACAGAGTAGAATTGCACCCTAGGGTTTCAGAGACTGTAAATTGTTAGAGTAGCCGATAACTTCACCTTTCTCCTGGGGAGTAGATGATGGGTTTGAATCACTGATCTTTCTGGCTAGCAGCTCAATGACTAACTCGCAGTGTCACCGAGGGCTCCTGTTAGGAACAGTCAACAGGTAATGCTTTGTCTGGGATTTAAATGAGAGGAACATACTTTGTTCTTGGAGCTTTACTATAAAACCCTGTTTCTAAGACTCACACCCAAGAGGATGCCTGGTAGCACACAGTATGGCACAGAGATCAGCACCACATCGCTGCTGGGATTTGCTCCAGTGTGTTACCTGCCCAACACTGCCTCTTACCAGCTGTGTGGACGTGGCCAGCTTCTTTAACTCCCTGAAGCAGTTTGCTTACTTGGATTTTGAGGTTAATAATAACACAACAACAGCAACATCTACAAAGCATCAACAACTACGACCTTGCAGGACAGACATGAGGAATAAATTAGTTAGCAGATCAAAGTGCATAGAAGAATGGCCAAACCCACAACCAATCCATATAATGCCTGTTTTCTTTCTCTAGTGACATTTTTTTTTTTTTTAATGTTGTTTAGTCAATTATAATTCATAGTGTCCCTATGGGACACAGTAGAATTGCTTCAAAGGGTTTCCAAGGCTGGAAATCTTTAGGGAGACAGATTGCCACATCTCTCTCATATGCAATCGCTGGTGGCCTTGAGCCATAGACTTTTTGGTTAGTAGCTGGTAAGGAGCTAGGGTAGCGTAGTGGCTATGAATAGGGCTGTGAACCGCAAGGTCAGCAGTTCAAAACTACCAGCTGTTCTGTAGGAGAAAGATGAGGCTTTCTGCTCCTATAAAAATTACAGCCTCGGAAACCCTATACAGGGTTGCTATGGATCAGAACTGATTCGACGGTACTTAACAACAGCAACAACAAAGAACTGCATTGAAAATCAGCTCAGAAAATCATTGTATTTATAAGTCACAAGCTTTTCCTTATCACTTCACATGTTTGTAGCCCAATTACCTTGGAACAGCTTGTCACTAACACAGGTAAAAACTTGGACAGAAATTCACAAGCTCTACTTTTGCTTTTTTTATGTGGAAGCCCCATGCCTGGGTCAGCTGTCCCAGTGCCATTGCCCTACGATCTGTCTGTAGGTCTTGGTGCTGCTAGAAAGTGGATCAGTGGAGAGCAAAGCCATGAGC